ATTTTAGGGAAATTGTTCATTTCAACAGCAAAGCGGCATGCCATAGCAGTGGATTCTCTGCTAACAGAAGGTTGCCTGCAACCTAAGTAACATAGACAACGGATAAGCTAAAGTTTTTGCAAGCTTGTATTGTCTCTAAGTAAGAATTTAACAAGATAAATAAAAGCAGGAATTTAGGAAGCGGGATATGCTGCTCAGCAGCATAAAGCACAGAAATGCAGTCAGATCAGGGAAGGGGGGAAATTTCTGAATATGTCTCATGTCACATATGGAAAAGAAACAACTTAAAAAAAAAAAAAGAAGAAGAAATAAGGTATCAAGCACGCAGTTTGCAATCAGAAACCCCAACATGGACCTTTTCAGGCACATTCTGCAGTACTTTAGAGTCATGCCTACAAAAGAGAAGGCCTGGCCGGGAGAGAAGTGCACTTCCTGAACCTTCCCAGACCTCAATTCCAAGGGATGGTGAAAGGGACTCATCGTGGTCTGGATCTCCTACAGCTGTTTTGCAAACCAAAAAAGAGGCAGCATCACTATGATATCATCTCTCTGTAGGAACATGCCTGAACACTAGTGTGTATGCTATATCCCAATCAATGTATCTTAAGTTCATTTCTATTTCTGTTCTGCAGGGGTGGCCACAAACCCAACACTTGCTAGTTAAACTATTCTCATGATTTTCTGAATCAACAAAAGAATCGATACTATTCCCTATTTCCCAGATCATACTTCTAGCATTTTAAGAAGTGCTTTCACAATAATAAGTCATTTTATTCAATCCATAATGTACAATGCAATGAATTCCATTGATTGTGCAGATCTGAGCCTCTGGCTGAGCTTGAGGACCCACTGGAAAGACCCGGATACCACACCCTTTTCCAGGCTTTCCCAGACTCCCAACTGAGAACACCTGCAGTACACCATCCTGCCTCAAATGGAAAGCTGTAATAATGCTTTTTGATTTGTATAATTCATATCCACTGTTCCATATGCCAAATCCATTCAGCCTCTCAGTTACTCGTAGGCCGATGAACCAGATGCACAGGGTAAGTCCGGATGCATTAGACTGTATGCCACTATTGCAGCCGATCTTTATGAGTCCAATAAATCCAAGTTAACTGAATTTACTGCAAGCATACTGATCACTTTCACAGATCAAACACTTGCCCATATCTGATAGCCATTTTTCTGGAATTTCCATCCATCCAGCAGCTGGTGAGAGTGATTGCTGTATGTAGCTATGATCTCACTCCGGTTGCTGGTCATACCAAAATCTTGGCCAAATTTTTCATTTTCCATTCAGGCAATATCTCTGGATTACATAAAAAAAAAAAAAAAAAAAAAAAAAGAAGAATGTACTGAGTGAAATATGGCAATAAAAGAATGGAATTAAAACCATAATTTTTCATTCAAATCATTGTATATCATTTTGAGCATCAATAATAGTTTTGCTGCAAGCAAAGCTTGCTAATGATGTTTGCACAACAGGAAAGGAAGGGTTTACCATATTGCTATTAGCTGGCAACTTCTGAATTGATGAAGAAAACCTTATTCAGCTCTTCCTATTGCTGAGACGTTGCTTTGCATTAAGCAGAAAATGTCACAGCTTCCAAATGTAACATGACAACCTAGAGCATTTTACTGCAAATACAAAGATGGCCTTTGAAAATAATTATAGAACAACAAAAAAAAAATAGAGACAGAGGGAAGCAAATACAAAAAAGACACTTAAAATATTCTTATGCACACTGAAAAGATCCCATGTTTCATATCAGAAGTAAGAACCTTCTGTTTCTACTGAAATCAATGACACCACTGCTATTACCATCAATGGAATCACAGTTCTTTGTTTTAAAATGTCAGTAGGCATCCAGCTGGTTTGTTGAAGACTGCAACACACTTCCCTTCTGTGAATACAGCCATAGCTAATCTCTGATACAAATCCAAGTTTCCTGATACCCCTTCATAATAATTGGTCATCCAAAGAACTGGTATTCATCAGAGTGATTTCCTAAGTCAAAAATCTCCCAATTCTTTGGAATAATTCTAAAAATAAGACATGTTCCTTGTTACAACTTTGACCTTTTCCGTTTGTGCTTTTACATTGCCTCCCATCATTATTACAGTTTGACTGGAGGAATTACTTTTCCAGTATGCTATCAAGCTTTCTAAGATAATTTAAGTTTTTAACGTTATTGTTAAGACTATCAAAAAACAAGCCCAGGTTCATCCCTTCACTCGTTTTGTGGATAATATTGATTTCCTGCACCTCACCAGCAAAAGGAAACCAAAAGACACCATCTACTTTCTGCAAACTTCATTTAAGATGAAAGAAACACACAAGAACTTGCAATAACCACCTGAAAATGCCGCATGGGTTACATTCACTTCTCTTTTTCACAGAACGTGGGCTAAACTATTTTACCTAGGTTTGGTCTGACCTTGCTAATGAGCATTCTGAAACTGAAATGGGCAATTTATTTTAAAGATTTTCGATGAAAATTTCTACATCAGTTTTCTTTTTTAAGTGGTATTTTCTATGGGTAGCTAAGACAGTCCTCTGATCTCTGCTTAACATTTTTTATTTGTTAGCAAATATCTTTATACTTGTGGATACAGTGAGTGTCCTTGTATACATTTTATACCTCTGGGTTATCACAAGTTAATTGAGTTGAATAAATTCTTGATAGAACACCACCCAAGTTAGCACAGGTTCAGTGGATGACTATGAATATTGTACTACACTGGTTATTTAACCACTGCTCTCTGAGGGACAAAAAAATGTGTATACTGTCACACAGGATTTTTTGAGTTGCATATACAGCTATAAATAACTTCTCAAGGTGCACCCAGGCTGATAACTGAAGACAGGCTGGAAAATAAATCGCTGAAACATGAGTGCTGAAACAGGTAATGAAAAGAATTAGTAACAAAGAGAAACACTGAAAACACATAGATAGTGATTTGATGTCTACATTTTTGTGCTCCAAAGCCAACATCCTAAGTGGGGGAAATGGACCGTTTTCCAAAGTGCTGGGTCAGTATTGCGATGTCCTGGTTTGCTCAGGCAGCGGGTGGTTCTGGTCCAGTCAGGAGCGACAGCAGGATGCAAGGAGCCTGTTCTGTTACTAATTCCATTTTTTTCCTGTGCTGAAATATTGTTCTTCAAGTCTACGAAAAATGCCATGTTAATGGTGCAAAAAATAATCTGTTTTGAAAAGAGGAAGAAATTGCAGAAAGGAGGCTGATAACAGCATCTGAGGCTGATAACAGCATCTGATCCAAATATATCTCAGCAAACCGAGCAGAGTCTGTGCTTGTCACATTTGGCCTGTGGCTTTTTGTACTTTACCACAAGAGGAGTAACATACTATGTTCTTGAAGAACTTGTATAGGAAATGTGAATATTTTGCTGCTGCTGCAAATGCTTCTGAAGATCAGGCTGAACATGCGTATTATAACTTGAACAGAAATAAACGTTGTTACAAGAGCAATATTAAGATTTGGAGGAAGATTTTTTTTCCTGTGGGCAGATTATCCCGTAGTTGCCTACTGCAGAGTTTTTGCATCTTCCCTGGGAAACAATACATATTTGATTACCAGGAACAACAGGATTCTCCATTAAATAGTTCTAAGGTCTTTTCTTGGAGAGCAGCTCCTGTGTCATCTTAGAATAATGCTCTGACTTGTCAGTCATGTCTAGGAATTACATGCTTTACATAAGTATGCATTTTATTGTGTGATACATCCAAGTAGGTGATAAAAATGTGTTTAACTGTATTATTTGATATCTATTATGGTTTGTAATCTTTAAAGACTTATTAATTAATTCTGCTTAATATCTAATTAGCTTGTATTCTGCAGAAGAGAATTTAGTAAGCTCAAGGCTTAAATTTGGGGGCAGAGGGATATCAGTATGGACAGGGTGTGTGGCACCTTTTCTATATTCCCTTTTGATAAACTATTGGATTTTTCATAAGAGAATATATTATATATAAATCCGTCTGAGTCATCAGTGCATAATTATTTTAATAAACCATTTCCTTTTCTGTCATCAATGATGAAGGAAAAATACAAATAGTGCATTACAGTATTTGTAATTCATTTGGTATGTTCCTTTAAACAAAATTTCAGTATTGTATGCAGGGTAGAAATATTTCTTTGATGATTTGTTAATAATACTTTCCTTTTTCCCAGCTGGATTCTGTCCTGCAGTAATATTAACAGCTGCAAGATGTTTCAGTGCAGAGTGTATTGAAGAATAAAACCAGAGACAGTATTGAGAAAGTTTCAGAATAAAGGTTCATGATGGAGTAATTGCAACTTATTCTTACTGCATTGCCAAATTGATATCAACTCCTCTTTTGCTCTTAAAATGAGTCTGTCTTTTTTGATCTCACAACTTCTGTTTAGTTTCTGCATTCACACATTTAAATCTTAGGCCATTAACGTGAGTGTATAGTGTTCAAGCAGCTTGTATCAACTATGACTTCTGAATATATTTAGACTTTTACAATTATACATGGCAACGTAATAGGCAAAAGAATGGAAGTTAGTCATTAAGGTCAGACACATTTTAAAACCAAAACTGCAGTTGTTGTGTCTTAGCATGCTGTAAGGGCAAAAAATATATTTTACGTGGCAGCTGTGGAATTTGCTTGCTTTTTTAGCAGATTTGTTACAACAGGAAAATAGTGTAGCAGGATGCAAAGCAACTGTCCTATCCTACTCATTCTGCTTACTGACACTGAAGAATTTTTGTTTCCTTTCAGATGCAGTTTCCACATCTGCTTACTCATCACCAGCCAAAAGTCTGGGAGACCCTGGAATAACTCCACTGTCTCCATCACATATTGTGGTAAGAAATGTACTCTTAACATACTGTATGTTGACATTACTTTCTCTTGCCTGTTCGGTGGGACATAATTTCTTTAGAAAGTTGTCATTTCCTCATATAGTGATCCCTTTTATGCTATCCATAGTCTTAAGTGAAACCTTGGTTGCACTGGAATTAGTGACAGAGCTGTCATTCATTTCATTGGGGTCCCGGTTTTGCCTTTTTTTTTTTGTCTACTTGCTGAGCTGATAGATTTGCTACTGCATATTTTTATATCAAACACAGGGGCTTCTTGATCCTTAGGGTTCCCAAGTTCTGTCCCTGTCTTTATCACTGATTTGTTTAGGCAGCCCCTGAAAAGTCTCATTCTGTTCAGAAAAAAAGAAGGATATGTATGATATTCAACAGTAAAATCTGAATTCTCAGAGAAAAGAATCTCCTCCAACACAGAGAGAGAGAGAGAGAGAGGCTCAAAATAGGAATGTTTTAGTTTCTTAAGGAAAATAGCCACTTCTGTAAGCTTTTGGAAGCAAGCAAATGTCCCATAAAGATAGTGTGTTTTAACCTCATGCACATCATGTTCATTTTGTTGACAAACTCCCATTAAAACTAAGTCCCATCTGTTTTTAAGATCATCTGCACCATCTATAACACAGTATATGCACAGTGTATTTCTTGATGTTGCAAGGGATCGTGTTCAGAACGCTCTTGTCAGATTTCTTCCTTAGCTTTCTGAATCAAGTTGAGAGTTGTATGACATTCCTCTTCAGGATTTCCAGAGTTCTCTCTCATAAATTTTTGCTTTTATTCCCTTCTTTCTCCATATATTCTAGAACTTCCCCCTTTTACTTCTGTCGTACTGACAAATTTATATCCTCTTTCAGTTAGATTTGCTCCTTAAACCCTTTGAGGAAGACATATAAATAACATATTGCTCTAGTTGAAAAGATCTATTTGGAAAATCCAAACAAGTATTTCATTATTTGAGACCAAACCTTATTACTCTTGTTTCTCCATTTTAAGTAGCAGGCCTAATGGGATAATCTTAGAAAATGTAGCGGTACAATAGAAAGGTGCTGGCAGTAGCAGGCATTGAGATAACAGAGATATGTGAGGAAGATGGTGGAATGCTGCTCACAGAGTAGGGATATTTGGCAGTTCTTCTGTAAAAGTTAGCAACAATTGCTTCAAAATGTTATTGAAGGTACAGGCTGAGCACCAGTGGTGGAGGATTTAGACATGACCTGTACAGTAATAGGTCAACAGGTCTGTTCCATGGTGATTTTGCCAAAATGATGTGTGTGCAGATGGGTGTCTAGCAGCCACTGTCTAGCAGTCTGTAGCACATTGCCCTGTCACCAGTGTTTCCAGCTTGTTCTCCTCTGGTCTTGCTAAGCTGTTAGTGCTTTAGGCACCATCAGCATGGGAACAGTAGTTCCTTGCTGTTCATTACTTACTGCTTTTTTATACAGGATTTGTGACAGACAACAGCATACTGGGGAGTGGTACAATGCCTTGCTTTATATTTTGTCATTATGATTTGGGCCATAACCCTTCCACCTCTTCTAGTTAACATTCCTACATTGCCCTTGGCTGTGCTTTTCAGGGATTGCAGAATTACAGGTAAAAGGCAGGGAGAAGGATTCAAATTCACGATAAGCAGCTGAACAGCTTTCCACATTCAGCATAGGCAGGAGGAAATAATGCATATAGAGCTTACAAAACAAGTGTTATGTAAATTCTTCATAAATAGATTATTGTGGGATATAAAGCTTACTGCTGTGTTTTGGGTTGTTCTGTCTCCACAAGTTTTGAATGGTAGTAGTACCTCGTGTTCAAGGTTATGACATAGGTGGCTCCTAAACCCACCAAATAAGTCCCAAATGTACCACACTGATGGATATAAACATATTCTTCAGTAGATCAATTTAAGGAAAAAAAAAAAAAAAACCCAGCCCCAAACCAAATAACCTAGTGTTTAGCCTTAAGTTTTAATTATACAGGATAATAGCTATTCCAAGAAATGAGTATGAAGGAAACTCTTGATTCAGAAAGTTAGGTATTAAAGTCTCCAGCAAATATATTGAATTGCATATTGAATATCCACTTCCATTGGCATGTGCAGCTTTCTGGTATCAACTTTGGTCAGAAATGCAGCTTTAGGGAAGTCCTTATTTCCACTGAAGAGATATGCATGTCTTGGAGAGCAGAAATACTGAAGGGTAAGACAGGTTACAATTATTCTAATCAGTGACTCAGTGTCTATTTTGCTTCTGCTATTTAACAGAAGGACTCTGATGCAGATGATGCTGTAGAACAGTTATTTCATGTTGTTGTGGCTATTGATTTTGGCACAACATCCAGTGGCTACGCCTACAGCTTCACCAAGGAACCAGAATGTATTCATGTAATGAGGTAAGGTCTGCAATGCAGCATTTAGTTTTCGATCGTGATAACATGGATTGTCTGCAGTAGCTATAGATATTTTCTACAGGAGCCTGAAGTGTCTCAATTTGTCTAGTGTTGCCATAGTGTACTCCTTTCTTATGTTTATGGTTTTTTGTTGCATCTTATTGTATTCTAATTTGCTTTAATAATCAATGTGAACACCTCCTCTCTCTGTTATTTTGCTGAGTTTACAAGATGACGTGGGTAAAAGAAGGGATCAGTGAGTATTTAGAATTGTTCAGGGATAATTATTAAGTCAGGATGCCCTTATCTCAGAGATTGAGATAAACTACACATTTATTAAGGGTCATGACATTTCCCAGCAGCTGCCCATCCCCTGGAATCATGCTTGTATACAGTTGTGTGTACAACACTTAGTTACTTGCACCCAGAAACTGGTAGTTCATTTGGCTGATTTAAGCTTTTTAGCATTAAATTTTAATCAAGTCTTTGATAATGAACGAGCAATACTGGGAAATAAGCAGACAAAAGACATGAATGTGAAAATTAAGGTTTTATGTGAAATCTGTGCTGTATTATATGTGTGTAAGGGACAGATTTTAGATGCGGTTATGTAGGGGGGTTATTTTTTTATTTCTTGATTAAATCAACGCAATATAAATCTATGCATATAAACCTAATGCAATCACAAATGCAAAAACTATTATGGCAGGTACATGAAAGGATTGCCCTACCAACCATTTTTATAATGTTTTTTATTTTTTTTAAAGATTTTTTTAAAAACTAAAACCCTATACAATTCTTATTAAAGTACCTTTAAAACTACTATATTGTAACTGGACCAATATATAGATAATTTCAGACATAAACAAGGTATGTATGAAAAGCTTAGCCATAGAGGTTCTTCTAAACAAAGCTGCTGTTACAGCAATAGGTAATGTACTGTTTGTAGCACTGTAATACTGAGAACAAAAGGGCAAAAAGACTAACTTGCGGTAGTGCAGTGTGATATACTGTAATTTTTCTAATCAAAGGTGCTGTCTGAATGCATCTCTCTAAATCTCAGCAGACAGTATTGATTGTGCAGTCAGTCTGCATAGTTGGTTTGTATATGGTTGCAAAGTATTTCAGAGATCTAATGCAACTGGGTGATGTGAAATACTGTCTAATGGGACGTGAATTTTGGAATGGTATTGGGCCATCCAGTTACAAAGACACCTACCACGTTCAGTACAGACAAGTAACGCTTCAAGGCCGTTTCTGCATCCCATCCACCTATATTGTTCAGCAAACGGCCCAGGAAGCTGCATGAGACTAGAAGTCAAAGGACAGGACCTGTGTTGCTGTCTCAGACAGGTTACAGGGTTGTGGAGTTGGAAACCATGTTTATCAATTCCTATTCTCTTTTGACAGCGAATAATTAATCAAATTTCTTAAAGAAGTTGCATGAAATGAGGGAAGACGTCTCTGAAGCTGTATCTGAGCAAGCCTAAATTCTATATGCTGTCTTGTTCCTGTAATCTCTCTGGAGATTTTACTATGTGAAATCCCTACTGGTTTTAGGGATGCCCTTTAAGCCCTTTGGACTCAAATTTTTACCTTAGGACTTGATTTTGCTGTTGGGTTCACAGTACACTGCAGTAAATTACAGACTAGGCTCTCCTTCCAGGGTACTAGACTTCCTGCTGTAGATCACTGCAACACTGAAATATAGGTGCTATGTGGCCAGCTGAGAGTATGTTCCAAATCTTAAATGACATTTTACTTCTTATGGTTCAAAATGCCATGTTTTGCTCCTTATGCAATAATGGTAGCATGACTGTGATTTCAGACCTGCGTAGATATTATATGAGATCCTGAAGTAAAAAGAAATGAAACAAATTAATTCCTCTATTTCCAGCAAGGAGGGAGGAACGTATTTTGGGGGGGTGGGCGGGAATTCAGATTTCCAACAGGTATTTCAGACAATGGCAAATATTTTAATACCAAGAGTGATTTCTTTTCCCCCTAAAGAAATGTTGCTGGCAAGGAAGGATTTTTGGGAAGATATAGCTGAAACTGAATTATGAAATAATGTATATATTTATGTATATATTTATATATAAATGCACATGAAATAATGAAATTCAATGAAAAAAGTGGTATATGTATCAAAATAATGCTTAGGTAATTCAGAAGGTATTAAGAGGTTCAAAATGAGTATACCTTGAGGTTTACATGTAGGATAATTTACAAATATTTCAGCAGAGTAAATGTAACTTCCCGCCCGCACTGGAGAATGTTTACATTAGAATAAAGCATACCAATGATGCATGGTCCTCTTTGCTTCCTAACGTTTTTTCCACCTTCCCTCCTTAATGTTGATCCTTTCCAGACATTTAGATTTCTGAGTGCCTTTTAACAAAGCTGCTTTTCTGTAAATTTCTCAATGAAGGCTAAGATGGGTTTATTTAGAAGGTCCTACTTCAGAAAAGAGTGAACACACAGGGCTTTGGTACCAAGTTTGAGTGTAGTGTCAGCAAAGCTGTGATTCTACTTGTGTAATTAGTAGACAAAGTCATGTTTTTGACTGTCTGTGTTTATTTGCTGTGAGACCCAGTACTTAAAAAAAAATGAATTTATAGGCATTGACCTAACAAAGTTCGTTCAGCATATATTTAGCTTTAAATGTATGAGTAGCCTCACTCACTTCAGTAGACTAAAGCATGTGTTTGGAGTTGGGCGTGTGTTTCTAGATGATCAATGAATGACTTTACCTTGATTGCATAACGTTGGTTACTGTTTTATCAATTTTAGGTAATACTTCACATCTGTCAACTCTTACTAGTTCCCCATGGCTTCTGTAAAGATAGTTGTGGTTACCTTCAGGATCTTGTTGCAGAGTAGAAGTATATGATTCAATGAGTGCTATTTTCTTCATACCTTGAGACTCTGAGTAAATGCATATGAACAGCCTTGCCATGAGTTCAGCAAGCACTTCAGCGGGCAAGGCAGTGCCAGAGCCATTATGAAAGACAGTTTGGTGCCGTAGAATGAGTTAATAATGTCTCCTTTGAAGGCAATACACGAGGTCTTGCACAGTTTTGCAAAACTCCTATTGATTGATGTGTACTTACATGAAGTTATAAACGTTTTGGCTGCTGGTTAAATAGCAACAAACTGAATGTAAGTATTTTACAAATGGAGAAAAAATAAATGGAAAAACGCGTGTGATTATGAAACAAATTGCAGCCTGTCTTTAGAAGGAGGGAGAACGTGGTCTTTTTTCAGTGTAACTTTACTTCAACCTTCAGGTTTTTCCTTTTCCATCTCTTCCCTGTTTGATTGTAATTCTTGGCAGACACATGCTTGCCTTTCTTCCGCATACACAGTCCTGGCGGCGTTCAGCTACATTTTGATGACCCCACTGCTTCGTTTCCTTGACTGTTATGCTGCAGCTCTAGATCAAATTCCCATCATTCTGCATGGATGACTCTCTTTGCTCTGTTAGCCAGATTCATGTGTAAGGAAGGGCATTTCTTTAACTTTAGTATAATCATGTGATCCTTTCCACACTAACTTTCGTCTTGTCTCTATTTTCACTTTTAATATACAGTCAGATCCTCTGTGGCTATAAATGGGTCTATACTGCTCTGTTGAGCTGCTTCATTTTATATCAGCCTAGGAACTGGTCTCATATGTCTGAATTTAGGCAGAAATATGCCTTGGGTTCTGCATGAATAGATTTTTAGCTCTGACCCTGCTTTGAGAAAATATCCATCACATGCATTTAGAATTATTTAGGCTGGGAAAGACCCTTAAGATCATCGAGTCCAACCATTAACCTAACACTACCACTACCATTCAGAGAGTACTGCTGGTTTGTATTAGGCCACGCTCTTAATAGGCATTTCTGGTTTTTTTCCCCTAAGAGGAGCATTATTACCATCATTTTGCCTGTATTGGGACCATGAAAGAAAACTGCAGAAGCCTCCAGTAACTGGAGGGAGGCGAGGACTCCACCTGAGAAGGTGTCCCAGTCAGGAGTTACCATGCACATGCCTGTGTCTGCAGCTGCCTTTCTCTAGAAAAGATGTTGCACAGGAATACTTTTAAAGCTCTGATTGCAAATGGTAAAGTCAGACTTCCACTTCTGTTCCCTTATTGCTCTTTCTGTGACTGAACAGTAATACAGGCTGAGAACTTTAGAACTTGCTGAGCAATTACCGTGTCTAGTTTCTGTCAGAAACTCATCAGGAAAGGAACATCCAATTTGAGAATGACTTTGAGAATTTCAGCCCATACCACTGAGTATCAATTTGTCTTCATTTAAACTGCACCTTAAGTGTACTTATTCCGGAAAGAGAAAATGGGCCTAGCCATAATGAAAAATAAAGAAGTGTTGTTGTTAGCCACATCCTATTTATGGAGTTTCCCACCGGTGACTCAGAATGAATCATTAATGATTCCAAGCGAAAATGATACCAGTCTGTCTCCTCTCTGCTTGCAGCGGGTGTGGGGGATTTGACATTCTGGTGAAGGAGGCAGTGTTTTCTGTTCATGGGCTGTTGGATCCCAACTCTTCACATTGGAACCATATGTTTGCTGTAACACCTACTCAAAGACTTTGGAGTTGACCAAGTACATTTCTAGCAGCAGGTTAGAAGAAATGACCTGGAGCAGAGCTCTTGCCAGCTGATAATAGCTTAGGGGCTGAGCAGCGGGACTAGGGAGATTTAGCAAAGTTTTTTCCGAGTGGATGAAGGTGGAAATCAATCCACTTCTCATCATACTGTTCCTGCTTTCAGAGCGGTGGAATTGCCCGCTCTGTACTGAAGTAAATTCATAGACATGTGGTGATTCCCTGCCATTGCTGCTGCTGGTGCAAAAAGGGGCAGATTTTGCTCTGTTTGATTTAGTTGAATCGTCTGAAGGGTTCCCAGCACTTTAGAAGCTCCTGTTCCTTGTTACTTTGCCAAGTATTAACCCCTTAGATTGAAATTCTCCATGTCAGTTGTCTGCCTTGGTCTGGAGGTCAATTAATTTTCAATTGGTTCAACTCTTTCTGAGAGTGAAATGGAAAAGAAGATTTTTTTCTGCATGATCTTCCTACGTCACATAAACAAGTACCACAGAGCCAGGCAATCTTTTTGTGCTTCAGAACAAGGACTTCGGCAGTAATATATTATGGAAGTGTGTTTTGCTATCTTTAGAAAAAAACAATCAACATGTGGTTTAATAATGAATGCAGTTGCCTGTGTGATCTTAACTTGGCTCCTGTTTGAGCTGCATTACGATTATGTCTGATAGCATAAAGCAGATTTTCCACTGATGCTTTTTTAAGAAAATGTGTCTGGTAAGTGTTTGTTTCCCATGCTGAAAGTACGTGTGTATGGGGTGAGGGGGAACAGTAATGCGAGTTTCTTGTTCTTCCGTTCTGCTTTTTTTGTGATGGAGGAGTGAGGAGAAGACAGGAATGCTCGCAGCTGTCTCTGTGGTACACCTTTCTCCTGTCTGACCTTGCTGGCCCCCCATACTCCCCCAGTTCCTGCTGCACTTAATGGTTGTTCCCATATTTGATGTTCTTACTTATTTCCTTATCCATTCTGTGAAAGAAGCCTTGTGTTGCTTTTGCCTTAATACCTTTGTGGTTCTTGGGTCTTCCTGAAGATACCTTCACAATTTTGATAAGATAGGATAGTTTTATTCACTGTTTTAATGGATGGTGGTGAGGGAAATGTTTTGGTGCCTGTAAGATACTTGGAGGTTGGGGGAGTCTGCTTTATTTTTGACAGACTAAAATTTTTACAGCATTTTGGGCGTTTAAAACACAAAATCCATCAACTTCAGGGGAGTAGAGAGTGCAACGCAGAGCGCTCAACATCTGCAGACATGTCTTCAGAGTTTCAGGTGTCCGGGAAATTAGGCAGGTGAAGAGGTGTTGTGGAACTGGCTTGTCTTGCTTCAGAGAGCATTCTGTGACAGAAACAGGGTTTTAATCGACTTCTCCGCAGTGGTGTTCAGCTGACTTAAACAGGTCTCTATTTCAAAATGGGGAGAAATATCCCATACAACTAAGCATGCATGAAGTCTGATTGACAATTAGGTAGGCCATTTTGAGGATTTGGGTTTTCATTTGTAGTGCTCTTGGATAATTAATTGATTTTTTTTTTCTTACAATATTTATGGCATATGTATGTTTAATTTGAAAATGTACGTGTAATACTGTTTCCTTGTTAATTGTGTGTAGTTTACTTTAAGGAACCTGTATTCCTGTCAAAGACAGAGTATGATTATGTCCTTAAAAATTATACAACTAACTGCAAAATTTATTTAATTGTCTGAAATTAAAATTACAGTCCTCTTTTCTTGGATAAAAACACTTGGCTTTGGTATTATAAGGATTGAAATTAGTATCTTTGGACAGGAAAGCAGTCTGTGCAACCTGCCACCAGTTTGTTCTTCTCACGATATACTATTGTTTTCTGCTGCTCTAAACATTAGTATCACTTTCTGAAGCTGTTTTATTTGTTGGATAGACGATGGGAAGGTGGAGATCCAGGCGTATCCAATCAGAAGACACCAACTACTATCCTCCTAACACCAGAGAGAAAGTTTCATAGCTTTGGGTATGCAGCAAGAGATTTCTACCATGACCTGGATCCCACTGAATCAAAGCACTGGTTGTATTTTGAAAAGTTTAAGATGAAGCTACATACCACCGGTGTAAGTAATAACCAACTCTCTTGGATAATTGTGCCTTTGCTACTCAAATCATCTTCCTGTGGGCAGCGCTAGATTTTGCCTAAAGATTGTGAACTAGATGTGAAGCAGCTCTATTTCTAAGTTTAGAGAGTAAATAAAATAAATTAAACTTTTCAGTTAACATTATGATTCATTTTGCTTCTCATTCCATTTGGCAAGTGTATTTTTGCCAGCCTTCTTTCAAGATCTTAGAAGTTCAATATCTGCTTTGCTTAGATGTTCATGTCCTAATTTTCCTGGGTGAAATTCATAGCTGTCTAGGGAGTCTCCATGAGGTCAGTTTGTTCTATAAAGTTACTCAGAAAGCAGAAGTAGAATGTAAGAGCCATAGTGAACTCTAGTGCAGAGGACCAAATTTACCCAGAGTTCATTGTCAAAACTGCAAGTGCAAATCATGCTGTTAATTTGACATTATTCCTACTGATTATATTTTTGTCTCTAAACTAAGCCATTCTAGAGTTTTGGGACTTGGCCAGTACTTTCTGTATTGAGGTGTTTTCTGGTTTCATGTGTTGGTGGGGAGCCAAAAATCTATGCTTTTAACTCTTAACTTGGATTAAATACCTTGTATATGCAGCTTTGTTGCAATTAATTACAAATACATTTGTTGTAATTATTTAATAGTTAGTCTGTATTTCTCTCAGTGCCTGCAGTTATTTGTAGACATGATAGGTGTTTAAAAATGAAGTCTAAAATAAGCAGCAAACGTCATGCTCCAGGAAATTCAAGTGATGAGTTAGATCCTCTTCAGAACAATTTTGTCACTTCTTCCTAGCCAGGTGGATAAAGAAGAATTCCCTTTCCTCAAGCAGCGGGAATTAATTTCAAGTTTACTTTTTCCTTTTAATAACTTCCAATTATTTTCTTTCATGTAGAATCTTACCATGGAGACAGACCTGACAGCTGCAAATGGCAAAAAAGTAAAAGCACTTGAGATATTTGCTTACGCTCTGCAATTCTTTAAGGAACAGGCATTAAAGGTAGGGTAATGCTTCCTTATCTAGATATTCTGTATTTATAACTGTAAGCTTAACATTGCTAACCTTGCCAAGCTTTGACCTCAGTAGTATTTGATGTAAACAAAGCAAGGCAGCTGTAGAAACTCCAGGCAGGCTGTGGACTCTGGAGAGCTCACAATAGCCTGAAGTGATTTCCCCGTGCACAGGGGAAGCTTGATTCAATAAGAGTGTAAGTGTATCACTGTGATGCAGAGTTCTGAATATCGTCTTACTAGCTTGAATATTTTCTACTGCTTTTTTTCATTAAAAAAACATTGATTTGAAAATAAAATTTAAAAGTGCAGGAGCTCAGGAATTGAATTTGAGACTGGGTCCTGTCCTCATCCCCTACACTTCTGCTGCTGTGACGATGGATTGTTCTGTGTTCACGCAAGGTTCTCTGCCATGTTAGAGAGTTGGCACTGTTAAATGCAATAGGATGGGCACCTACTGATGTCTCCTGGCCCAACCTGACTTTGTCTTCATTGATTAAGCACAGGGAAGTCTTAGAGGTCCTTTCCAATCTTAACGATTCCTAGTTTTTACTTTCATTATAAATAATCCAGCCACCAAACCAGGAAACATGAAATTGCTACTCTACCCTTAATTGGTTTAATGGTGGACTTGGTAATCTTAGGTTAATGGTTGGACTGGATGATCTTAAAGGTCTTTTCCAACGTAAATGATTCTATGATTCTATGAGCTGGATTCATTTTGTAATGGAAAGATTATTAAAAGCTCATTTATAATTTGGTGACTTGAATCTCACTGTAAGTCTGTACAAAGATGACCTGCTGAGGTGTACAAGCTGGCTAACCTGGTGGAAATAGTGTAATTATGCCAGTGCAATGATGTGTAAAGGCCACTTGATTGCATTGAGAGGTTCAGTAGGGTAATATACCCTATGCAGAATTCTGCACCAGCACAGATACATAGCCTCCATTACCCAAACCAACTCAGGTACCCTTGCACAACACTCCTTTATTCTGTTTTACACAGTTAAACTGTAGCATGCGTGCCAAAGAGCTGCAATTAGGCTATGGTATTTTCGTCCTATGCTGACCCTTTGCAGGGGTGAATTTCATGTTGTTGTGCTGTGAGGTGTTATTTGATTGCCCTGATCCTGAATGCACATTTATGCAGAAAATCAAACAAGCATTAGGAAGAACCAAAAAGTAAGACAGACATCTGTTAGGTGTTTAATTTGTAAATTAATTTGGTGTTCTGATGGACTGCCTCCATTCACGTTGCCTTTTTTCCCTCCTTTTTTTTTTTTTCCTACTGTGGCTGGTGTTGGTAGGGAAAATGCATTTTATTTTCCATTTCCCGTTCGAAATGTTGCAATACTCATTTCTTGTAATATTCTTCTTGGGTCACAAGATTGTATTTCCTATTCTCCTGTGAAATACATGTCCCCAGTAAACAGTTTTTGAGATTTAAAATCTCATGTAAACAGTCAAATGTGAGTTAAGTACACATTGGCTTCAAATGCGCCACTATAATGTCAATGTAAGCATAGTAGTTGCTGGGTCAAATCAGAATATTCATCCAAGCAAGCATTGTTTAAAACAGCCTCGTTGTTACAAACTAACCTACTTTTTTGAATGGGTTTAATTTATTCTCTGTGAGATCTCAAGTCTATTCTTTAGGGCTACAGAGAAACAATCCTACCGTTACAATTCAAATTTCTCATCTTGTCAAAGACTTCTTTAACTAGATTGTGGGGCTGATTGTGGAGTCACCAACTTGAACCTGTGCATAGTCTGGGGAAATTCTTAGTGAATATTAATGCTGTTGGGTACAATCCTGTATATTTGCTGTGCTGCCTGTTCAGGGCTACATCCTTTCTTGAAGTTAATAAATAAATCCCTGTGATTTGTGAGTGCATGCTGAAACTAATTAGACAAGCAACGTAAATGAACTGCTATTTTGGGCTATAATCTGTCCATTCCTAGTGCCCTGTGCAGTATAAAGGTACTACTTTTCTAGCAGGGATTTTTGAACTGCAGCATAGCTAAACAAACACAACACCTTGGCACAGCACATGCAGAAACATTTTTTTACATTCTAAAGGTCCGTTGTTCACCTTTCTGAACCTTTCCCTGTTTGGATGGAGATTTAGATAGGACATATGGTAATGACATTTTACTTGGAACCTTTCCCAAAACATGTCAGTATATCACCTAATTTGCAAATGCAATACAGACTTTCCTCTTTTTAAGGGAAAAAAAAAGGACAATAAAAGAACTAAACTAGTCTTGAATGTTTGCTTAAAGCTGAATTTTCAAGGAGCAATCAGTCATTTTTTTTTAAAGGGTTTAACTGTAACTTCCCCTTGTTAACTGAGTTGTAAAAATTTGATTTAAAGTGGTGTATAAAGAAGTCATTGAAAAATCCAGATTGTAAAACATAATGTTCATCAGTGATACCTCAAATATTTTTCTGTGTATTAATCAAGATGCAAGTGTGAATTCTTCAAACTAACAGCAAGTCCCACACTGTGACTAAGAATGTACATAAATGTTATGTAATATTTAGCAGTGCACAAGCTGCTTTTGGAAAAACTAACTTTTCTGCTTCACGTTAAGCAGTAAACTTTTCTATAGGCCCCCTTTAGAAGGCATCAACCCTAATCCCAGCTTTTGGCACAGTAAAGCATTTTTGACAGGTTGGCAATAATTCTGATTTGTAGCATAAATGTAAGAGGAAAAAAATTGAAAAGAACAAGTTACTGTTGCTGGAACCAGCAGCAAATAATGTTTTCTCATACAGTTGACACCCATCGTTTTGCATTCACCTCTATTTTCCTTTTATTTAGGAGCTCAGTGACCAAGGAGGCTCGGACTTTGAAAACACTGAAGTAAGATGGGTCATTACAGTGCCTGCTATTTGGAAGCAGCCAGCAAAGCAGTTTATGAGACAAGCTGCCTACAAGGTAAGATTACAGGCTGAAGGTAGAAATGCCCCTGTAAAGCCCTAGTTGATAGGCTAAATGATAAACTGTATTTGGGACAATTAGCTCTACTATAAACTGTATAAAAATGGTCTAGAAAAGAGTCAGACTGGAAACATTGAAAGAGGAGTTAACTCTACCGAGCAGTAGCTTTAAGTCATACATTTTCACCTCTTAAATGCCTTTTTCTTTCTACTTACTTTTATATATTGCTGTCCCTCACTGCAGACTGACATTTTAGTCATCTTGTACACTGTATTCCTGCTGAATTCAGTGCACATGGAACAGATGCAGTTTTGAGACCCCAGGGAAAGCTGATTTTAAAATACTGGACACAGTTTTGTTTTGTTATTTTCTTTAGGTCATCACAGACTTTTAAAGTTAAAAAAGGGAAGAGGAGGGAAAGCAAAGAGCCTCCTTTGTGGGACTTTTTTTCCAGTTCCCATTTTCCCACAGTAGGAATGAAAGGACAGTGAACCAGATAGTCTGGATATAAAATTAAATTCAAACATTATTTTCACCAGTAAGAGGTTTATCTGCATTTAACCCTTTTCCCCCAGCCCCCCAAATACGTGCATTTTCCATATGCATGTCCTTTATTTCAGATTTAGTTCGCGTCTTTGATACACAAGATGTACACATTCTTCTTTTCATCAGGATATTCATTTTCTGTTTTGTTTTATTTATTTTTGGTCAGAGACTTGCGTAACCCATTGGCAGCAGCTATGCGATGCACAGTTAGTAAAATATCTAGTAGTTCATGAGTAATTTGCAGAGTGATCCTGGGAAGCACCCAGATTTTTCTAACTCTGTTTCTAACTATCTCTAATGTTGAGCAACATTTTTCTTAACAGTCTTTATTGTGGGATTGCTAATGCTAGTGCCAGAAGCAAAACACTCTTAAAGTTCTGATGGAAAAGGACACGGTTGTAGGTAAATCTGAAACACTAGAGACCCATTCGTTATCTCTGTATATTGTTGTCTGCCTGCTGTCTGTGTGCATGTGTGCTCGTGAACCGGGAGCTGTGTAAGGAGCAGGGCAGGGTAAGGTAGATCTCTTGGCGTTTCTCATTTGTGGCACAATGGAATGTTGTTAATTAGTGTCTGTGTCTGTGGTTGTGTCTGTGATTGTGTACTTTTATCGGCAAGCTTGATAAATAGCAAGGACTGACGAGGCTTTTAACTTGGGGTGTGTGATCAATTGCAGTAAAACATAAGAGTTTAGGGAAGTAATCAATGTTTACTTGACAGACATGGTTGATTTTTTTAAAGTAATGGGGATGAAGAAAGAAGTGCAGAAAACTGAGAGTTCTGCATTGCCATTCAGTCTTTCAGATTCCTATTGCTGGATCCAACATGTTCCTCAAACCAGTATGTACAGACGGATCAGAAGTTGCAACCCTTGTTGCTAGCTATTGGAACATCCAAGCATCATGAAAATGAGAGCTTGTTGTCGTAAGAGTAATCAGAGCATCGAGTAAAGAAAAGTGTGAAAAGGCAGTGGTAGAAACTTTGTTACTGGAAACACATTGAGGTACAACCAGTAGTCTAAGCTGAGAGATAACTAGTGGGAAATGTTAATGAGCTGTGGAAATCTGCTTGAGTAATCTGTGGCAAGTGATGTAGCTCTAAGAGAACAAAAATATTAATGGCTTCAGTCATTGGATCACAACGTAAAGCCCAGCCTTTCTGGAATGGTTAAGTGGTTGTCTAGGCAAAGCTAAATATTGCATGGAATTACTAAAATCAAGTAAAAAGTGTTGCAGATCTGCATCCACACTAAACATCCATCAGCTTTTGTACAGCCCACAATCTTAATGCCTCTCTGACATGCCGTCATCTCTGTTTTGCCTTAAACAGAACATTGCTAACCTGGAAATCTTACCTGCCCAAGGGCTCCCGCGATGCCCCCTTCCAGCTGCTTTGCTGCTTTCTCATGTGAATGAGTAATCTGGGTGTTCCCTTCAGCTCACAATTCTTCCTTTCTCTTTCAAGATCCTGCTAATTCTGTCTGCATGACAGCTTTTCCTGTCTGTACATACTGCTGAGCTTTCATCAAAGCTGTCACTGGTTTTGGTTTTGCATCTTGCTTACTGCAACATCATTTCCTTGGCTTTGGCAACTGTAATCTGGCCTGGTTTGTATCCTTCCAGAAAACTGCCTCTGAAGGGTTTTGTAGCCTTGCATTTGACAGGGAATCAACCTACATTTGACTCCTTCATCTGTGTCGTCTCAGACATAAGCTGCATGTCCTGGACATGAACATCTGTAATGCTAACGCATTTTCGTCCTCTGAAACCTTCTCTAAAATGCTGGTTTTGTCATGCCCACAAAAAGTTGACCATGATTGACCTACTGATATGTGAAAACTGCTCCTCACTGCTTCTTGCTGTTACCCTGCCTGCCCATCTGTATTCATCTATTGTACTTTTTGTATTCTTAACTCTTTTTATATTTGACTTGTCACCTCTTTGAAGCAGGTATTTGTTTATTCTCATTTGTCTGACTCTCTGGGGCCTCCTGAGGGACTAAGTCTGGTAGGCTGTAGAGAGCTGCATGTCCTTATAACCTCACTTTGCTGAATCAAAATTACTTTCTTCCTGAATAACAGTCCACAGATGCTTCTTCCCATCCCTCATGCTTAATTCCTATGTATCCAGAGATAGTTTGAAAGCCATGTGACACCTGTTGAGGTCTGGTCACATTTGGAGAGAGCTCTGTGGCAAGAGCAGAGTGTCATCTCTGTAGGACTCACTTTGGCCTAAGTTTCCTTTCCCAAAGCGTGTCTGCTGGGATTAGTGTGCATTGCATCTATGTTCATTACATTCTGAATAATGACTCTTAGGATGCATCACTCAGGTTTCCCGTTGTCCCCCCCAGTGAAATATAAGGCACCATAAATAGCGTTAACTTTTTTTGTTTCTGTGTCCTAGTTGCTCCATTTCAAATTCTTTGCTTTGGTGTAGTTCTGTCAGAAGTGCTGTATTTACCAGTATTAGAAGGAATCCCATTCTCATGAAGAACTCGCATCGTGAGTAATAAATACAAATTGCTGATATGTTTTCTTATTTTGGAGACTTTGGCAATGTGGTCCAGTTGGACAGCATGTGGGAGGATTCTATCCCGCTCATGTGGGTGGGACCTGCCCTTATTCTTGTCCTTGCAGAAGCAGCCAAATTAAACTACCTGCACTGGGCCTGAGTTTTAGATCCCAACATGAAAAGATGGCTTAGGTGTGGAGGCAAGCCATTTCCTGCTCGTGAACATGGCCTGGCATTTACAGCCTCATCAGAATGGTGTGTGGACATGGACACAAAACCAGGATCCCACCTCCGTGTCATCTGAGTTTGTACTGACACACGAAAATTTAGTATTTTGTTAGTCTTGTATTACTGATGACAAAAAAAAAAAAATTGCATGCCCACTAATGGGAAGGTGAAACTCCAAGTATTCAAGACCATTTGTGTAGAAATCCATTGAATCTAGGTAGGCATGAATAGTTGGTTCAGTCTTAACAGCACTTTGCTGTCTTAATATATTACTATGAGCAGCACTTTTAATCCCTTATCCAAATTAAAGTCAGGCACTGTAGGTTGTTTATTAGAGGAACACAAGATCCAATATTCTTGGCAGAGTGTTTCTTTTTAGTAAAGGCATTCTTCCAGCTCATCTTTCAATACAAATTCTTTGGGCACAGTAAGTGCAGAGCAGAATCTGCAGGCTGGAATTCCTTGAACATGCCAATAAGAATAAGGTTTTAAGGAAGGGTTTGGAGTGTGACAGGAGTTTGTGAATGCAGAAACTATAAAATAAGAAAGTAAAACATGCATATCGAATACACTCAGGGCAGAGCAAAGGAAAGGGAAGGATATTGCAAGTTTGTAAACTTTCCTGAAGTATTTTGTAATCTTACAAACATCAGTTAGCTGGTCTACTTAGAGATATTGAGGGTTCTTTTCTTCTAATACAAACTGTTAATTTTGAAATGGAGTTCTAAAGCTCTGACGTAGATTTATATTCCAATTACAAATAGCAAATAAAATTGTTTGCATGGTAAGCTCATATAAATAAAGAGAGAGGCAATCTAGGTTATAGGATTAAGCATGTAAGCCTGGAATTCCAGAGGCTTTCTTTAACCAGTTCTTATGCTGAATATTTATTAATGTTTTCACATCACTTTCATCATGGAATGTACATGATGAGAATTATTTAACACATTGTGTTCTAGGGTTGTGTTACATTACATTGATCAGTACTACCCTGCTCTGTAGAAACCTTCAGAGAAAAGTAAACAAATTTGGTGAAAGAGTAGTGTGACGGCATGTAAAATCCCTTGCTAATGAAAACTTGACGTGATGTATGTTTGATTTTAAAAAGATGACTAGAGAGACTTAACCAGATTGATAGCTGTGAAGCTGAGGTACGCTTACGCTTTGTAAGTGTCTTCTTTGGTACATCAGCCACACGCAACTGAAATTTATTTGTCTAGGCACAGTGTGACAGACTCCTGCTATACACTACATAAAAGGGCAATGATGTTCAGGCGTAAGTAGCACTGGGAAGCTGGTGATTTGTTTGAAACCCTACTTGCTAGTGGAGGCAGACGAGGCAGAAGTGTGTTAGTGCATCAACCATCCTGATTATTTGTAGCTTCTGGGGTTCTCTTGAGTCCATGCTTTCACTTTTGTGATATTAAGATCTTTTTAATCATAAGGATTAAAATGCTTATTAAGTGATATGTTAGGGAGGATTCTGCATCTTGTAGCTATGTTTAATTAGGAAAGGATAACTAACTGAGGAGTGAAGATTACAGAGTGGGAACTCAGCACAGCGGGAAATGTGTACTAATTGATCTTGGTTTACACATTTTAATTACCCAGCCAGGTTCACATGAAAGCAGAGGCAGCTGACAAAGCCATCTGCTAATCCAGTTCTGTACATTTCTATTTGTCCACTTCTGTGGCACAAGATGGAATATTTGG